ATATGAAAACCCTCAGAATCCAACAGAAAAAGAAACCTTGATATAAAAAATAAACTTTGTCAAATCCTCATATGTAATAAAACTGTACAAAATGAAACACACACACACACACACATCAGTGCATGGAAAACTGGTGAAAATCTGAACAAGATCAATGGATTATATCAATGTCAATTTTCTGGTTATGCTATTGTGCTGTTGTCATGTAGGATGTTCCCACTGGGAGAAATTGGGTGACGGGTAAATGAGATCTCTATATTATTGTATACAATTGCATGTGAATCTGCAATTATCTCAAAATAAAAAGTATATTTATAAAAAAATGAACTTTGCACCCTACAAAGGTAAAAAGATAAAGCTTTTCTGAGAGCTGGGGGTAAATTATCAGAGTCCAGGTCCCAGATTCTCAAAGCCAGGGAAAGTACTCTTGGCGACCAGACCATTACGCAACCTGAGAAACCTGAAGTGGGCCAGATGTGCTGGTGCAGATGAAGAAAGGGAGGCTCAGAGCAAGTAGCTCAGCCTTACTCTGTGGAGCAAGGATTTGTGTCCAGGTCTTTCTGAAAGGTTAGGCTTTTCCTATTGTTATGTAACAGTGACTACATCTCTGAATGACTTAAAGGGGGGGGGGGGGCTGTTCACTGTTATCCATATCAAATAAACAAATGTTTACTTGGTGTAAGTAAACAAATATTCAAGTGAGTAAAAAAATGGTGGAGTTGTAATCAGGCACAAGAAATTTCAAAGTATGTGCCTACATATGAATATCATTTATCATGTATGTCACTGTAGCCCTGATTACTAGAAAGTTCTTTCCAACACCCAAACTGACCTCGTTCTATCTAGTGATTTTTTACAGAGAAACAAACCTTTGTCACCATGTTCCTTCCTTGATAAAATTAGATCTCCATTTTGGTGTGACCAGTGCAGAGTCTGGGCCGTGACCACTACAGCCTCTCTTCTCCTGGATCCTACTGGAAGACCCCACATCTTTCTCACCGCTGCTTTACATGTAGCCAGTGGGTTATTTCCAGTCCTCCCAAGCGCTCCTCTAGTTTTATGGACTGCAGTTGACAGTCTAATAGACCTCAGAGTCCAGGCAAGGGTTTCAGGGTGGGTCTGTGAACTCCTGAAATTTTGGGCAAAATTGTTATGTCTAAATAAAGGGGCATATATTGGAAAGAGAGCATTTCACTTTTATTAGATTTTTAATGTAGCCTATGAGTCCCAAAATTATTAGATTTTTAATGTAGCCTATGAGTCCCAAAATGATTGCAAATACAAGTTTAATTTGATCAGCAACAAAACAGATTTAAAATATATACTCCAAAACTGATTACTTTAAAAATAAACACCCTTGGTGCTTTGATTGTGGTCTCTAAATACCACTTCCCACTAAAAGGAACTTACACTGCTTGGAGAAATGGCTGATTCCAGATTTGGGGCAGGAAATGCACAAATGAGCATAAAATACCTAATCATACCAGAAAGCAAGGAAGCCATCACAGTCTTAGGTTATGGCACAAGGACTGAGGAGCCTTTAAAGATGGGACAAAGAGCAGCAAAAAGAATGATGTCTACAATAAGCTGAAACACATCAAATCTGTTTAAATACAAAAATGACTCACTGGTCACCATTTCATTATTTTGAAAACTTGTACATAAAAAGAGTTAAATTGTTTTTGTTTTGTTTTTTATATTCTCACGTTTTTGCATTCATCTTCAGATAGAGCAAGAGGGAGAAAGAGAGAGAGAGAAACATCGACATGAGAGAGACACATCGACTGGTTGCCCCCTACACGACTCCTACCGGGGCTGGGGACAAACTGCAACTGAGGTACATGCCCTTAGTGGGAACCAAACCCTGGACTCCCTGGACCATGGGCTGACGCTCTAACCACTGAGCCAAACTGGCCAGAGGAAGAGTTAAGTTTTTAATTTGCCTTTCTAGTACTAGCTATACCTCAGGGTGACCAAATAGTTGAAGAGGAAACATTTCTTTTTATGGAAAGATTCAAGTTAATAAATAATGAAAGAATAATACAATTAGAGCAATACCATTTTATAATCCTTGATGAAATAATGGGTCTAAATAAAATAATTATCAATGGCTGCTAACATCCTCCAAAGAGAAATAACCAGATGTGCATCCTTTCCTCAAGTGCTCAATACCTCCTGAATCTGAGCAACTTCTAGATCTGACTTTCTATTTATTTTTTAAAAATTTTTTATTGATTTTTTTAGAGAGAGGGAGAGAGAGATGGAAACATCCATGTGAAAGAGAAACATTGATCTGCTGCTTCCTGCATGCCCCCTACTGGGGACCCAGCCTGCAACCCAGGAATGTGTCCCGACCAGGAATCGAACCAGGATCTCTCAGTCCATGGGACGATGCTCAATCCACTGAGCCACTCCGACCAGGCATGACTCTTTATTTATAGGAAATACAGGAGTTAGGGGAACATTTTAAACAACACCAACAAACTGAGAAATGGCATAGGACAAATAATCTTATTTCTTCAACAAAAAATTACAACAATGAGAACAAGGAAATGGAAAACAACACCTTCCTTCTGGCATCTGTGCTGTAACAGGCATGTCCTCCTTGGGAGGCAATTCCTTCTGAATTACACAGGAAGCTCCATGCCCAGGGATTCTGCACCCCCCTTCCTACATTAGTAAACAGCTGGGGAATTAATCAAATCTTCAAAGGTTGGTGATACCAGGTGGTGATAGATTGATGCCCTGGAGCCCAGGTGAATAGCAGTATAGTGACCAAGATGGATTTCATACCAAAGAATGATTTTTACTTCTCAGAAAGGAGAAAAACAAATAATTTTCTGATGTCTGGCTCAGACAGTGGACACCAAAGTGGAATGCTGTACTGTTCTTGAATTCAGGGGCTTTCCATAAGTAGTTATAGCAAAGAAGAAATGATATAAAGAAATAAAATACTTTCAGAAATTGTGGGGAAACATGCTAGGTAGCAGAATCACTAAATGACTGCATGGAGAAGGCTTCAGGGGCTCTACAGTCCAATCGCCTTACCTGGTAGGTAGAGGGGAACACCCGCTACTCACTTCTCCCTGCAACTCTGGAAGTCTTTGCCCTGAAAGGAGCTGGACATCAGAGCCAGCTGGAGGTGTACATGGGACATAGCAAGCCCAGAGAGAAAACCTGACTTGTCTTCAAGTCACAGCAAAATAGCAACAGCATTAGGCTAAGACCTCACTTCTGATTCCCTGAATGAGGCTCTTCATGTTGGTCTGATAAATATGGTATGCGGCATTCAAGGGCCAAAGCCACAGCTTAACCAGGTTAAGGACTGGGTGGAGCCACCCAAGTAGGTTGGTGGAAGAGCTCCAGGGAGGCTGGCTGGAAAAAGCTATCTTGAGTAGTGCCAACCTCAATCTCAGGGGGCATCCTAGGTGTATGAATTGGCACACAGGTCTTTCTGGTCTGCACTAAAGCTTTGAGGACTTGCCTCAGCTAATATTTTGAAATTTGAAAGCAACCAGTAACATCAAGGCATGGATAGGGCCTGGGCTGTCCCCTCTAGGCTATTCAGAACATTCTCCCAAAGGCATATTAGTAAGGAGAAGTTTGATTTGCCCCCAGCAGAAACTCTCTTGGAAGCTCAGTGCCAGTCTCTGTCAGGTTCACATCTCTATTTCCTCTAGAGATGCTCATTGCTTTCTGGCCCTGTCAAACCACAGCCTCACACATGAGCGTGTCTGCCAGCATGGACTGGATTGGACTCCAGCCAGTGTTCAGGGCACTGTGGAGGAGGCACACTGCACCGCAGAATGGGAAGGGCACCCTCTACCCACCTCTCCCTGCAACTCCAGAAATCTTTGCTGTGAAAAGAGCTGAACTTCAGAGCCAGCTGGAGGTGTACATGGGTCAAAGACGTCACAGGCACTCGCATGCTCTAGGAGCCCAATCCCTGCAAGGATCACAGGGCAGGCGGGCAGCAAAGGGTAGGGTAGCTGGGTAGGGCCCCACCAGCCTCTTTGAGAATAGGACAGCATTCCACCAGCTCCAAATACCTGCCCGTTGAGTGGGCGTAGGACTTACACATTCATGCCACTTACCACAGTGCTAGCTGACTAGGGGTGGCAGGCTACCCTCCAGAGTTCAGACTGTGACGCCCAGGACCTGGACAAGGGCAGGAACTTACAGCCTCACCCACTGGCTCTATCTTCCCTCAATAATCCCACCCCCAAGGCCCCAAGACCTCGAGGGGCAGAGGCCACAATTCTTGATGTCACCTGAAACACCACCTTCCACTTGCCCTGGCTCCTTGTACCTTCCCCAGCTGCAAGAACTTTCTTTCCTCCCAGGGCGACTTTGGGTCAGATCTCCAGGCTGAGAGACCAGCCCCAGCCCGCCCGACTGGGAAGGGCTGATGCACGGGTGTGGCCCAGTCGTGCCAGGACAGCTCCACGCTGCCTCCTGGGCAGCCGTGGGCGATACAATTGCAGACCCGGCTGGGAGGGCAGCGAGGCTGACACCCCCACCCAGGGCCAGCAGGTAAGCGCCTGCCTTTGGGTAGGGAGCAGCCAGGGCTAAGGGGGTCGATAAGGCTGGGGAGGCGGGGAGGGAGGGAGTGAGTGAGTGAGGGAGGGAGTGAGTGAGTGAATGAGTGAATGAATGAATACATGTATGAATGAACAGCAATGATGGCAGAGGGTGGTGGTGACGGACTACGGGAAACGACCAAAGGAGGGTGCCCTCCACTCCGTCCGGACGTCCCTCATTCCCGCGTCCAGATCCCTTGCCTGGAGCGCAAAAAGCAGACAACGTGCCCAGGCGCGAACACTCCGCAACCCGCGAGGCGCCCGGGTTGGCGCGGCGCAGCTCTGGAGCTGAGCCTGCATTCCGGCGGCCGGGAAGTGCCTGCCCTCCGGGCAGAAGGCACCGGGGTGCGTCGGGCCCAGTCCCGCCCCTCGCCGTACCCTCCGGGGCTTCGACCCCGGCGTGCGGCTGTAGCCCCTTACCTGCCTGCCTCCGCTGTCTCGCCCCTGCTCAGAGCGGTCATCTCCGCGCCTCCAGCGAGCGCCGGGGACCCAGCGGCCCTATTGCGCACCGGTCCGCCCTCACCCTCAGGTCGGCCCGCCTCTTCCTGCCCATTGGCTGCCTGCCCGGGATAGGCCCTGCCCACTGGCAGTCCTTCCCCCTCTCCAGATTCAAGGCGGGGCCCAAGCACCTCACAGATCCCAACGCCCCTTCCTGGGTCTGCACCTCCTGCCCATCACTGGGAGGACCTTGGGTCCCCTCCACGTTCTTCCTCTTCAGCTTTCTCAGTCTCGGAGCTCGGTGCTCTCTACAGCAACCGACGCCAGCCCTCCTCCAAACCCAACACTGAACTCCAGGGGTAGCTTTCAACTTCTCTCACCAGATTAGTGAGGGGCTGAGTGGGGAATGGCCGTGGCAATGTTGAAATGACAGTGGGACAAACTGGGAGCTAGAATGCTGTCATGTACTTTCTCCAGAGGTGGAAACTTGAGTGTGGCCCAGGCAAAACACTTTTGAAGTCCGGGAAGGACTGAAGATGGCCAGGAAATCAAGAGTGGGGAAGCAGAGGCAGAAGGGCTGAGATTGGTGGTGTTGACAGGGTGACAATGAACTGGGCCTTGAAAATAGGATCAAACTCCCCCAGCATTTGTGGCCTGCAGGCCCCTCCCTCCTATCCCTACCAGGTAGGGCCACTTCCTTGGGAGTGGTCAGAAGTGGGGAACGGTACAAGCTAGATTTGGTTCCATTCCTAAAACTCTCCCACCTCCTTTACTCAGCTGTCTGATGGAGGGAGAGCACTAGAAGGCAGAAGGGGCATCAGTGAAGCCCAGATTTGAGACTGCTGTGGGAACTGGGAGCAGAAGCTGTCTCAGGAGACAGGTTTCGTCATAAGGTTCCCATCAGGGGCCTCTACTGCATGAAAGCCGCAGGGCAGGGCAGGGCAGGGCAAGGGCCACTTCACTCCCTTTACCCACTAGAGCAGGAGGGGGTACCTTGTTACTGATTCAAATAAGCCACTGAAATTTCCCCACCCTGCAGTGCTGGCTGAGTGGCTCAGTTGGTTGGAGCGCTGTCCCTTGCACTGAAGGGTCATGGGTTTGATTCCAGTCAGAGAACATACCCAGTCTTGGGGGAGGAAACAAATCAGTTTCTCTTTCTCTCTCTCCCTTCCCCTCTCTCCCAAGACCAATAACATACCTTTGGGTGAAGATTTTTTAAAAATGTCCTCAGCTGCAGGAGCTTTTTTTTTTTTTTTTTTGGTATTTATTCTAGAGAAACCACTTGCTTCTCAACTAGGGATTGATCCTGCAACCTGGGTATGTATCCTGACCAGAACCAAGCCCATGACCCTTTAGTGCATGGAACAACACTCCAACCATCTGAGCCACAAAGGCCAGGACTGCAGGAGCTTTACACAGCCGCCACACCTCCCCAGAATGCTGAAGGGAGCAACCTATGCAAGATACTCAGCTACTGCTTTTCCAGCACCTCTGGCACTATGGAGATGGACAGAGTGACAAGTGGCCTGAGCTGCCTGAGCTCCCACCAGGAGCCTTGAGGCTCATACCATTTTCACCCACTCAGAGGGCAGGGATCACCTCACCCCCACACCCCCATCAGAAAAGAGAGGCAGCAGGCGCTTCAGCTGCTGTTTATTGACATACAGGTAGGCTCTATAGCAACAGGCCTGGAGGCGGCTGCAGTAGTGGGGAAAACGAAGGTGGAGGGTGGAGTGTTTGTCTGCAGCAACAGCTGAGTGGAGTGCAGGAACAGGAGTGCACAACTAGGTGGGAGTAGGGAGGCTGAGGGGGTTGGACAAGCAAGTGAAGGCCAGGGCCAGAGTCTGCTGAAACTGGAACCACTGCCTTCTCTAGTTGTGTCTTCTGACCCCAGGCTAGGCTCAGGAGTTCTCGGAGTATCCATTTCTACAGGAACTGGATGGAGTACACACAAGAGAAGCAGGAGCTGCTGCCCTCTATGTAAAGCTCTGGAGCCTCCAGTCCTGCACCTTTGCCCCTCTGGCTTGGGTGGGGCGATAAGATGGGCAGTCTGGCTCAGGGCTACCTCACCTGAGCAGGGTCTTAAAAATCATCATGTGTTACAGAGGCATTAATCTTCTTCCCTGGTGTCCCAGTCGACCAGTGCCACACTACAGCTCCAAATGAGCACTACAAGCATCGCTGGCTTAATGGATGGGTTGGGGAAAAGGGATGGGACAGGGACTGGAGGAGGGGCTTAGGGCCCATCACGGCACAGGCACTACACGCATGGTGTTGGTGAAGCCAGAGCCAGGACGCCACCCGGTCAGCACAATGACCACATCTCCCTTCTTGAAGAAGCCTCGAGCCTTGCCTGAAGGAAGAAAAGGGACGTGAGTGAGTAAATGCCAAGTCAGGCAGTTATGAACCTGGTACACTGCCCCACAGCCCAGATAGCAAGCAAGGCTGGCTGACTATTACTTCTTTACACCACCAGGTGGCCCCAGTTTCATAGTGCAGGCAAAAGTGATGAGGGCAGTCCCGAGATTTCCTTATCACTCAGATGGCAGAGTTGGCAGGGACCTTTGGACGTCATTCATTTTATACTATGGAGGGTGGAGAGCCTGCCCAAGGTCAGAGCTAGCTGCTTCCTCTTATCCCATGGCACTCTACACTTACGAAGGGACAGAGGCCACATCAGTACCTTGTGTGTGTGCCACCCCACAGTGCAGGAGCTCTGGCAATTTTATTAAAAAACAAACAAACAAACAAACAAAAAACCCAAACCAACATCCCAGTAATGAGCAGATGCCAAAGAATGGACAGGCCTGATTATCCAGGACACTTCAGCTGTGGGCCTTGGACTTGGAAGAGTGAGGAGACAAATGGGGTTGCTCAGCCCCATGACTCAAAGGCCCCTCTTCCTTCCTGGGCTCAGCCCAGGACTTCAGGGAAGGGGATGAAGTAATCAGAGAGAACATTCCCTATGAGAGTGGGAAGGGCTCTTGTACCCTAAGGTGTGCAAGCATCCCCACCCCTCACTCACCAACATTCATGGCCAAGTTCACCCGGAGGTCCACATCCTCAGCCCAGGCCTCCTGCACTGGGTCCTTACACACCACAGGGAAGATGCCACGGTACAGGTGGGCCTGGCGAGCTGTCTGGTGATTACGGGTCACAGCAATGATGGGGGCACGGGGGCGGTACCTGGCTACCTGGTGAGCAGACCTGAGATGGGATGAAGGATAAGGCAGAAGAGACCATCAAACAGTGTCCCAGAAGCCTCCCAGGAAGCCACTCATGCGCTTCAATGGCGCATCCTCTAACTCGCTGTGCCAGCCCTCTTCCTGCATCCTCCATAGCACAAAACTCCTTTTCATAGCTATGCGACCCATTTGCTCTCCACCACTGCCCACAGGCCAGGACTCCAGGATCCCACTGACCTAGCATGGTCAGTCTCACCCACTTTCCCCACATGGCCCATAGCTGGCAGAATGCCCCCCTGGCCCAGCCTCACCAAAACCCCATTTCTCTAGATGCCAATTACCCCTACAAGCCAAGCAGCATGTAAATAGCATCTGACTCTTGATATCTGCAAAGAACAGGAACAGAGCTTACCAACCACCCTGGAAATCTCTAACACAAGCCATCTTCCCTAATGCTGGGCTCTCTCTCCACCCCATGTGTCCCCCAGGTCCCTGAAACAGTCCCAGCAACTGAGCTGTAGAGATCAGTGAGTATCTAAGTGAGGGCAAGACCAGGAGCTGGAAGTGTTGGTGTGGGAGGCTCTGCCTATGCAGATTCCTTTGGAATGTAGGGGCCGCTCTGAAGCCCCAGTGCCGGGTACTTCCCGTACACTTGCAGTTGTCTCAGGAGCTGGGGAAGAGCGTGCAGGAGGGACTGGACCCTAGAAGACAAGCTTTGAGGACACTCAACAGGTGTTAAGGAAATGTAAGCCATAGTATAGCAGAGAATGCTCTGCCTAAGGCCTGGCTTTCAGAGGGAAGCAATTGCTGAAATTAGGATGGGCTAAGAGTGAAATCCAAGAAGACAGGAATTAAAAATAGCCAGATAGCAAAGGTTGGACATTTTCATTAAAGGTCAACCCCAACAGTGGAGCTGTTTATCCCGAGCTGTCTGTGAGGGAATCTGCCCAGATCTAGTGTTTATAGGCAGCGCCCCCACCCCGCCCCGCTGCTTCTCAGTGCGTAGGGACTGCCTGTCTGCTCCTTTACCAGGAAACCCTAGTTGCCCTGTGGGCAGGGATGAGGAGCACACCCCAAGACTCGGGGAGTGAAGGATGATAACTCAATGTCCAGTAGTAGGAAGGGATCATAAGTCCATGCCAAACATAGGCCTCAGCCTGGCTGCATGACAACACGGTGACCTTTCCTGGACCAGAAATCACTTCGGAGTTCATAGAGACTCGTGCACCAACCAAAGAACAGCACTGATTTTCCAAACCGAACCTTTAAAGAGCACACAGTAACGGAAATAAGCAAAGCTGGTGCCTTGCACTACTTTAGAGGACCAGCTTTTAAATACCAAGTAATCAACTGTAGTCAGTTTATCTGTAGTTATGCAGTGAAATCCTGATGATGTAAACTTGCTTTGGATCCAAATGATCCCCCATGCCCTTCGAGTGCTGCCTGGAGTCCTCTGAGCCCAGGGAACGGGCTCTGCTCCTTCCTGGATCCTGGCCTGGGGCTGAGGGGAGTCTTCCCTGCAGGGTCCAGGTGGCAGGCAGCAGGGTCTTACCTTGGCTCAGTGCCATCTGAGCATCGTTCAATGCACTGCTCCCAGGACCCCGAAGGAAAGGTGCCACTGAGCAGGGCATTCCCAGGGAGCTGCTGCCACCTCCTACCTGCCAGACTTGGTGAGGACGATTATGGCCCCACTGCAGCACTTGAAGGAGGCCTCCACGGCGCCCACGGCGGCGGCTTCTGTGGGGTCGCTGGTAATGGGCGCCAGGCGGCGGAGTTCCTCAAATAATTGCAAGTGGTAGATGGCGGCCTCTGCCTCACGGGCAATCTAGGGGAGCAACATCCGTCCAGAGGAACGAGACGGGGACAGAGCTTTGTCAGAGCTGTGCCACAATGGGAGAGGGAGGGGAAGAGTTGCACAGACAGCTGGTGAAGAACACGCCCCTGGGTGCAAAGGCCAAGAGGAACCCAATCGCTGTAGGTTGTGCACTGACCAAGATCAAGAATCCCAGGAACCAGTCCTTCACCAGGTGCCTGTGACACCACCTGTACCTACTGAGCTAAAGACCCTTCGGTTCTGCCCTGCGCTCCCTGACTGGCTTCCTGCAGATGGAAAAAGAGGCTCTGAACCCAGGCCCCAGGTGCAGGGCTGGGCCCTGGCTGTTTTCTAGAGCAGCTGGAGCAAGACGCTGGTTAAACTACAGAGTTAACTGCCTTTAGGGCCCTACCTGCCAGACTCCGTCAGAACTATCAAAGCTGCTGCTAAACACTTATAAGAAGCCTCCACGCTGCCCATGGCCATGGCTTCCATGAGGTCTGTGGAGTGGCTTGAGCCTCGCACAAGTTCTTCAAACAGCTTGCGGTGGAACATGGCTGCCTCAGCCTCACGAGCTATCTGTAAGGGTTAGCGGGGAGGGGAGGCAAGGAAGAGGGAATAAGGAAGGGAACAAATGAGAGACAACAACATGGAAAGACAGAATGGGAAATTAATCAGAAAAGAAGGTAACCTTAGGTTAATTGGCTAAATCTGTCCTTCAGGCAGATGCAAAGAGACAGGGTGATACAAGCCTGCTCAGGGCTGTGTGGAGGATTTCTAGCCTCAACTGCTGCTTCCCCTCCATCAGAGGGGAGAATGGCTCTTCCATTCTGGAAGCAATTTTTGATTGGGGGTTGGGGGTGGAGAGAAACACGGCCAGGCTAGGCCCATGCCACTCCCTGGCAGGACTTGACCACGCTGCCTCATGACACAGCTCACAAGAAACAGGTCCTTCCTCCTCACATGGCTGTCTAGTTCCCCAGGGCTTCTTGCCCTTCCACGCACACATGGAGGGCTTGGCTTGGCTTGGCTTCGGGCACAGGGGTGCTATGAGCCTTTCCAATGGCCTGCCATGGAAATGCACTGAGCAGCGCTGGAAAACTGTGGTCAGACAAAGCTGAAGCCATGCGGCTTAACTGCGTTCTAAGCAGAAGGGTGGGAAACTGGGAACTTGTCAGGGTAGACTGAACAGCCATGTGGAGCAGATGCCTGTGGAAGCACGCAGGCACACTGAAGAAGACATCTGATTAAAATCTAATGATTAAAAGTTATGAAAAAGCCACTCAGTTATTTACAGACCACCCACTCAGATAACACTAAGGATTAAAAAGAAAAGTTAAGCTTTAGATTATAATGCAATTACCAGCATCTTACAGAATAATGGGTGAGAGAAGAATCAGTAATATCATCTCATTAATTTGACAGTATAAGCAGATGTGTGGCAGGATTTCCTAGGTTAAAGGTTTTCTCTTGGCAAGAATGGAATGCATGCAACCCAAAGGACAGGGGACAGGAACAGAAACAGAAACTGAACCATACCTGGTACTGCCTAGCCCTGTCTAGGTCATTTACTGCATCCGTTAGACACAGGAGAAAGCAGTTAACAGTAAAGAGAAGCTGTCAGCCAGTGTTAACTAGGGACACGGAAACGAGAGGCCAGCACCATGGGCCCAGACCCCATAACTCATCTTTTGAGCAGGGCCATGTAATCCAAGCCCTGCAGTTCTCTCTAAGGTGTCCATCTGTTACAGGAAAGATTGGGGTCTGGGAAACATGAACATGGAAGTGAGAGCTCAGAGCTTGATTCTTAGTCTCTGACCCCAGTACAAGCCTCCTGTGGAGGCCTGGCCTTGTCGCTGTGAGATAGAGCGCTATGTTGCAGGACAGAATACTGGCTTTGAAGCCAGATCTGGGTTCAAACTCAGGCTTTATTATCATGTAACTCTCATCTATAAACTGGGGTGACTTCTATGTCTTACAGAGGTCAAGAAGACTACATCAATCTACACAGTGAATACTTGCAGTGAATATTTAATGCTAAGTCTATAATTAAACATATCCCATATAATATGTTTTATAGATAAGGACTTGAGAGGCTATGCAATTTGCCTAAAGACACATTCAAGTCCCTTCATGGTTTCATGGTTCAGTAAATGAGGTCACTCTTCCACCTCCCAGGCCACGCCTGAAAGCAAGGCAATGAGAGAGAGGAGATGTGTGCAGACCCCCTAAATACACAAGCAGCAACCCCAGAGGCGACTGGTTCGAGGCTCACCATCTCCTGGGAGAGGGAAAGCACTTTCCCAGCCCTGGGGCCGTCCTGAATGCACTCAGGTACCCAAGCATCGAAACAGGGAGATGTCTCACAAATGGGGTGGCATACCCTTCAGGGCCAGGGTACACCCCAGGGACAGGATTTCATCGTGGGTGGGGAAATCCACGAAGGATGCTGAAGACAGCCCAGAAGACAACTTTAGTTAAGACATCTCAGTTCACTACTGAAAAGGTATTAAATTATACATGACATGTCTTCTCTGGAAGCTAGTTAAGCCTAGTCATTGAACATACAGAAAATGAAGGAGAACGGAAGATATCTAGGACACCAGTTCTTTTGGGGAGATTATTTTAAGTTTGAGGAAATGCAGAAAAGGAGGTATCACACAAAGGACATGGGGTCCCTTTGTTGACTGAAAGGGAGTAGGAAGGTTAAAGAAAAACCATTTCAGGATAAGATACAAGCTCACTGAGCTACACATTATAAATCCTGACCTAGGACTATTGCAGGAAAGTTAATTTGTAGCACTCATTTTCTCAGGCATAACCCTGAGAGCTGATCCCTACGTTAACTCTTCAGTAAGCAGGAGCAGACAGGGCAGAGGATCTGAAGCCATGAGCAACAGTTAGGCAGTGGGACATGGCGGAGCCTTGAAAAGCTAGTTAGCTTCCTAGGGAAAAAGAAGTGATCTCCAGGACTCTGTCAGATGCTCTCACTCCAGGGCCAGCCAGGATCAGCCATCCTTCCACTTGTCTCTATTTCTGAACCTACTGCCTGTCACTTAAACCCATTTTTAGTCTGGGGTGAGTGCACAGCAGGTCCAGCTGCAGACACCATGCAAGGCCAGCTCACAGTCAACTCAGTGTGGACAACAGCCTCTCGGGCAGGCCCAGAGGTCCCTGTGGGGGAGGGATCTGTCTGTGGGATAGGTGGGGAATCAAAATGGAAGCCAAACAAAGAGGATGGCTTGGAGCAGGAGGCCTTGGCCTTTTCCAGAGTAGGACAGAGGGGTACAGGTCCTCTGGGCTGTCCAGAGGAAGAGGTACAAGTATTCCGGCACTTGAGCCAAGGGAAGGAGCCCGAGTGATTGGGCTATGTCTGAGGAGGGAGAACATCTCCAGAACAGAAGGAAATAAGAGGGTTGCTGTGGGCAGGGAAGGCTGAACAGGAGAAAAAAATGACCCATACCCCCACACATACCTCCTCACTCTTGTGTTTGAAGGATAAAAGATGTGGGTGCAGAAGCCTAAAAGCAGCCTCCACCCCAGCCTGAGCCTGGGCACCGGGAGGTCCCAAGAACTCACCAGGTGTTGCATGCGCACAGCCTCCAGCGGATAGTCCCCTTTGGCTGTCTCTCCAGACAGCATGATGCAGTCAGCTCCATCCAGGACTGCATTGGCCACATCACTGCCCTCAGCCCGGGTGGGACGTGGCTTCTTGATCATGCTCTCCAGCATCTAGGAGGAAACAGAGCACTAGTCTTCAGAGACAAATGACTGTAAGCTGACTCCTGGATAGTGTGTATGTACAGAGTATGGCTTTGTGTAGGTGCATAGGGGAAGGGGACAGAGGTGTATGTGCTTGCAACATGGGACATGGGGAAGGGTCCATGGAAGAGATCAGTGCAAGCATGTGTAGTGAGAAGAGGCACATGCCTGTGTGGCACAGATGACAGGTTTCCCAGCTCGGTTGCACCGCCCGATCATCATCTTTTGAGCAAGGAAGACCTTCTCTGCAGGAATCTCAATGCCTAGATCACCTCGAGCAACCATGATCCCATCACTGGCTTCCAGGATCTCATCAAACCTGATGGAAAGGTGGAGAGAGGTTATGTGGAACAGGTGCCACCAGTATGGTGACCCAAAGAAACTTTTCCTGGGATTCTCAGACTCAGCTGTCCTTATAAAACAGCCATCCACGATGTCACCATGGATGCATGGAGGTGGTGGGGATTCCAGCTACCTTAGTTCGCCAAAGCGCCTGACAGTTTAGTCTGCTGGTTCAGCACTAGTATGGATACTTCATGAGGACAGGGGAGGGAGCAAGGTTTCTTCTAAAGTCCCACAGGCTCATTTTTTCTCCATCTGCAACTTATGAGGCCCCTCCTGGGTCTCTCTGCCATTTCCACTCTAGTCAACACTCCCAAGAAGAAAGGAAACCTAAGACCTGCTTATAGTTGCCAACAGAAAGGTCCATGGCCTCTTCCAGCCAAGACACTTGAGGGCTGCTCCTTGAGGTGCCCCCTCCAACTTGTGAAGGGAAGAAAACATATAGCTCTGCCTGGCCGGGGGCCAAGGTCAGCTGGCTTATCAGGATAGCAGAGGGAGGACCCCAAAATGCCTAATGCAAAGGACATCTATACAAAGCCAAGGATGGCAAGGTCACAACAGTGGTAGTTCCTTCCACCCTCCACAAGCACAAGCACAAGCACAAGCCCAACCCACATGAGTGGGTCTAGGGTTTTACTGAGTCTTGTTTTTAGTAGGAAATCAAAGAACAGATGTCACCAAGCTGGCCACAACCATTTGGCTCTAGCTGGTGAGCACTGGGGAGGTAATGAGCTGAGCTGGGACAATCTAAGCCTCAAGGAAAACCACATGCTCCCCTCTGGGAAGCTGACACCATGCCAGAGCTCGCCCGGTCACTGAGCCAGCTGCTCTCTAGGTGAAGACTAGGAAGCTATGACCTTCAGCATCAGCACCAGGCCCCGAGCTTCCACAGGGACCCCTCCTAAGAGGCTGCCGCCTTCTCTCTTGGTGGTCCCCGCATTCCAGTAAACACAGGTAGTGCTCCTGACTAGGGGCACAGCACAATGGCTCCTGATCCTCGGAGCAGGGACCCTGTCCTCTCTAAAGCCAGTCCCTGGGTCTCTGGAACAATGTCAAGATGCTGGCATACCAATCACCTGGAAAGCTTTTTCTTAGTTAAACCTCAGTTCTTGAACACCTCCCATCTTGAACAATTCATTTCTCAGCCCGACAACCCTTTCAAGCTGACACCTGCATGATCAGTCACACGTGTCTCAGTGACAAAGGAGAGAATGTATGACGTTGAGTCAGTAGTTTGACAACCGAGGTTCCACAGTACCAATGCCTTCCACTCTTCCCCTTCGGGTACGCTGGTTTGGTGGGTCTGGAACAAGCTCAGGAGCCCGAGTTCTGAGGCACAGGAAGCCGGCTCCTCACCGGGTACACTTGGCTCTGCAGAGAGCGGGGCTGGGGCTGAAGGAGGCGGAGACAGATGGAGGGCACTTACCTCCGAACACCCTCATGATTTTCGATTTTGCTGATTATCTTGATGTTCTTTCCTTTTTCTCCCAGGACCTTTCTGACTTCATGGACATCAGATGCCTTGCGAATGAAAGACGCGAACACCATATCTACATCCTGCTCTACCCCGAACTTCAGGTCCTGGATGTCCTTCTGTGACACGGCAGGCAGGTCCACAGCGGCCCCAGGGAGGTTCACACCCTTCTTGCTGCCCAAAGAGCCACCATTCTCCACTTCTGTCACCAAGAAGCCAGCACCTGTGTGAAATGGAGTAGATCAGGTGGCAGGGCTATGCGGCACGTGTCCTCAACAGGAAGGGAAGAAACAAAAAGCCGCGGTCTCCGTCCCCAGGGCAGTAAACTGGGAAGCAGCACAGCATGGGCAGTGAAGCCTGAGTCCACCCCACTCCACTAACTTTGTAACCTGGGCAAGTCAGTTAGCTTCTCTGTGCCTCAGTTTCCTCACCAGTTAAATAGGAATAATACCTAGTCATAAGGTTGTTTTATTTTATTTTTACTTTTTTTAACCCTCACCTGAGGATATTTTTCCATTGATTTTTTTAGAGTGGGAGGGAGGGTGAGGGGAAAGAGATACACTGATTGGTTGCCTCCCGCAGGGGATCCAACCCACAACTGAGACGTGCCTCCGACCGGGAATTGAACCCACGACCCTTCGGTCCGTGGGCTGACACTCTAACCGCTGAGCCAAATCAGCCAAGGAACCAAGGTTGTTTTAAAATTTAAATAAATCATCATGTAAAATGCTTAGAATAGTGTCTGGTACTTAAATATGAGCTATCATTCCCAGACATACTGGTGTCCTGCACGTATCACACTGAGGGATGGAGGAAGGAAGCAGAAAGCCCGAAGTGGTGAGCACGCACAAGAGAAATCTTCTCGTATGCTCCCCAGGAGCAGGACTAAACCGGACTGGAGTCTGTTTTTGAGGATAAGGAGTTATAAAAGGGATTTCTGAGAATATAGACTCCATCCTGCTGTCAGCCAAACAAGCTTCCTCTCTTCCTGTGTCCAGGAAATTTAGAGATGGGAGCTGGTTTTAGACATACCTATCTCCTTTACCCGCAGAGAAATAAGTCCATCATCCACATAGATCTTGCTGCCCACTTCCACCACCTTGCAAATGTTCTTGTAGTCTAGCCACAGGGTGTTCTCGTCACACTTTTCCATGTAGGCATCATCCAGAGTGATCTTGAGCGTGGCCCCTTTCTTCAGCTCCACCTCCGCGGTGCCGCTCTGCAGACAAGAGAGAAAGCCACAAGTTCAACCTTCAGAAAACAGGCAGGCCCTCCTGGCAGGGAAAGAAACGCTCAGATCTTGGGTAAGAGTAATAATAAAGATTTTCCTTTGGGAATAAATCATCATATTGTCTAATTTAGTATATTTCAAGGAAATAACCCCAGAAAAACCTATAATGTTTTAGTGATGCTATTCAATGATAAGAGAAAAGAGACAAATTGCTCTCCAAAGGTAGAGATTTGAAGTAGTTTTTTAGAGTAAAAAAGGTTCCTTTTTGCTATTGTTTCTTAGCCGAGTAGATTAAATCAACATTTTTACAGTGATGAATAAAACCCTCATTTATACACCTAAACTCCGAGGAATGTGGCTTCCAGCAGGGCAGAGACGGCCGATGACCACCCATTCCTGCACCTTCCCTCTCCTTTCTCCCCAGGATACTCACGCCCTTGATGAGTCCAGTTCGGATCTCAGGTCCTTTAGTGTCCAGGGCCACAGCAACTGGCCGGTAGAGGATGGGATCAGAAGCAAAGCTTTCTGTGGCTGTGCGCACGTTCTTGATGGTCTCTGCATGGTACTGGGGGGAAAGGAGGGAAAATGATGAGCATCCTCCCACACACTAGGACCTAGTGCTGGAGCTAAAGCTGATTACTCTGGAAAGACCTGTGGATGTTCTAGGCCTCCTTCACCACTGTCTGGTCTCAGTGCCATCCATACACTGAGTACCCTCCCTGCTTATTTCAACCTCCTTGGCTTCCACTCACGTCTATCATAGCACTCACTCACTCTGAGGGCCAAAAACCATTCAAGGCATGGGTGTAAACATGTCTCAACATAAAGAAGCCTGTGTCCCCTCAGCGGTTCTCTTCTCAGAACTCATCCAATAAAGCAGACAACAGGAGTAAAAAGCCCAGGGTTGTGTTTAGATAATACTGGTCTGTCAGTCAGTGTCAGATGCTGAATAGATTTGTTAATTCTGAGCTTTTCCACTATTGATTCCAGCTACAATTCAATCTGAGAGTTATTTACTTAAGCTAACAGTGGCTCAAGCTAAATGAATGGTGGCTCATTGCTAAGGTCATACAGACCTATTTTCACAATTACTTTCTAGAGTCTGATGAGAGATGAAAATGGAATAGGGAAAGGTGGGAATATGCTTTTCTCTGAACCAAATGCCCTTTGCTATTTTTATTTCTCACTTGCGACAAATCTTGACTTCAATTTTCTCTTAAGCCCTTTCTCTTTTTCCATTTGCTGTTACTGTTCAACTCAAAGCTAACATGTAAAAAGTTCTTAAATGGTGTAATCAATATGACATTGCTGACTCCACTGGTGCTTCTACTGGCTTCGTTATGGCGACTTGCAGCCCCAGCGTAGTGATTACTGATGATGAACCAGATTATGACCTAGATTTATTTTGTGTACCTAATCATTATGCTGAGGATTTGGAAAAGGTGTTTATTCCTCATGGACTAATTATGGCCAGGACCAAACAGCTTGCTCAAGATGTGATGAAGGAGATGGGAGGCCATCACATTGTAGCTCTCTGTGTGCTCAAGGGAGGGTATAAATTTTTTGCTGACCTGCTGGATTACATCAAAGCACTGAACAGAAATAGTGATAGATCTATTCCTATGACTGTAGATTTTATCGGACTGAAGAGCTACTGTAATGACCAATCAACAGGGGACATAAAAGTAATTGGTGGAGATGATCTCTCAACTTTAACTGGAAAGAATGTCTTGATTGTTGAAGATATAATTGACACTGGCAAAACAATGCAAACCTTGCTTTTCTTGGTCAAGCAGCATAATCTGCATAATACGAAGATGGTCAAGGTCGCAAGCTTGCTGGTAAAAAGGACCCCTCGAAGTGTTGGATATAGACCAGACTTTGTTGGATTTGAAATTCCAGACAAGTTTGTTGTAGGAAATGCCCTTGACTATAATGAATACTTCAGGGACTTGAATCATGTTTGTGTTATTAGTGAAACTGGAAAAGCAAAATACAAAGCCTAAGATGAGAGTTCAAGTTGCGTTTGGGAACATCTGGAGTCCTATTGAAATCATCAGTAAAGTTATCAAATGTTCTAGTTCTGTGGCTGGCTGCTTAGTAGAGCTTATTGCATGTATATTCTAAGAATTTTATCTGTTTTGTATTTTTGAAATGTCAGTTGCTGCATTCCTGAACTCTTTATTTGCACTATGAGCCTAAAGACTATCAGTTCCATTTGGGTGGATTGTTATTTGACTTGTAAATGAAAAATCTCTTAAACCACACCACTATTGAATGAAAATATTGAAATTGTAACTGTAAGAAACATTTAAAGAAAATATATATTAGTTTTTAATCGGTATTTTAATTTTTATATATTCATGAAAGTACAGAAGCAATTGAATATTGTCAATTATACCACTATGTGTCTAGAAAAGTGAAAAACAGTCAAGTTTTATATCAATGACAACATCTAAGAGATAATGTTGTATCAGTTAAACCGTATGTCCTGGAATTAGTAGTATTTCAGTATTAACTGTATTTTCCTGCTTGTTCAGATTATTTTTGGTGACCCTTTGTTAACAGTTCTTTTTAAATACAAATCAATAAATTCCAGAAAACATTAATAAAAAAAAATGACATTGCTGATAACAGAGGCACCCAATTTGGCACTTTGTGGGCCTTGTCTTTTTTTTTTAATCCTCACCTGAGGATTTTTTTTTTTCATTTATCTTCAGATAGGGTGGAAGAGAGGGAGAGAGAGAGAAAGAAACATCGATGTGAAAGAGACACATCGACTGGTTGCCTCCCACACCACCCGACCAGGGCCAGGGATGAAGAACTGCAACTGAGGTACGTGCCCTTGACCATAATCAAACCCATGACTCATTGGTCCTCGGGCCAACGCTCTAATCACTGAGCCAGACCAGACAGGGCTGTGGGCCTTGTCCTTTAACCATCACCGTCCAGGAAAGCTGCACCTGAAAGTAGGAGACCAGCGGGGAGCTGAACCAGAGCTTAAACTCCAAGCATGGTGTTGCCTAAAGCTTGTGTCTGAAGTTCTTCAGCTTCTAATTCAGGTGTACGTGATAATGAGGACCCCTGGCTTTTTTGAGGTAGAGCTCCTTACTGTAAGTGATGCAAGTTTCTTTCTATTGCTGACTTGGAATAAAAACAGTACAGAATAGAATATAGAAATAGTTTAAAGGAATGGATATTAAATACTGTCAAATACCTTTTCTTCAGAGTTGATGTGAGGAGTTAAGAATACATGAAGTACTTAGAAATGAGCACACAGTAATTATTTAATGAATGTTACCTATTATTATCATCATCTTATATTACACTGATGACACTATTTAATTCCAATGTGTTTCTAGAATAAAATTTACTTGCTCATGGGTCTTGACTTTAATACTCTACTGGATTTGAACTGCTAAACTTAATTTACGCTTTCTGCATCTTCTAAGTGAGACTGTTCTAGTACTAAAACCTTTAGTGCTAACCTGTCTGGTTTCAGTAGTGTCCTTGTCTCATCTTAGTATCAGGGTTTTAAAGAACATATTGGTAAAATTTCTACACTTCTCAAGGCACTAGAACAGAATCACAAAGGATTTAACTATTCCTTAATGGAGACGCAATTCAACCATCAAAATCATTTGGGCCTGGTGTTCTGAGCAGAGGTAGATCTTACATTTTTAAAAAATTTTCTTAAGGCTGCTAGTCTATTAATATGTTCTACTGTGTATCCTTAGTCTTAGCCAGGCTTTCCAGGAGTTACTGCTTTACTGTTTTTAACTTCTTCTTCCTCCTCCTCTCCCCCCCCCCCCATCCTCCCCACCCCATCCCTGGCTTTGTTGTCCGTGTCCACTGGTTATGTGTACATGCATGTAAGTTCTGTGGTTTATCTCTTCCCTCCCGCCACCACCCATTCTTCTGAGGGTTGTCAGTCTGTATCCTACTTCCATGTCTCTGGGTCTACCCTATTCCTCAGACTGTTATAGTCATTATATTCCACATATAAGTGAGATCATGTGGTATTTGTCTTTTTCTGCTTGGCTTGTTTCACTTAGGATAATACTTTCCAGGTCCCTCCATAGTACTCCATTGTGTATATGTACCACAGCTTTGTTATCCATTAGTCTACTGATGGACCCTTGGGCTGTTTCCAGATCTTAGCTATTGTAAATAGTGCTGCTATGAACATGGGGGTACATATATTCTTTCTGATGGGTGTTTCAGGCTTCTTAGGGTATATTCCTAGAAGGGGATCACTGGGTCAAATGGAAGTTCAATTTTTAATTTTTTGAGGTAACACCATATTGTTTTCCATAGTGGCTGCACCAGTCTGCATTCCCACCAGCAGTGTACTAGAGACCCCTTTTTTCCACACCCTCGCCAACACTTGTTTAGTGACTTGTTGATGGCGGCCATTCTGACAGGTGTGAGGTGACACCTCATTGTTGTTGTTCTTCTTTTGTAAGCCCCAAAGAAACAGCTCTTGGCTTAATTTGTCAAATTTATTTTCTATTTCATTATTATTATTTTTTTAGGGAAAGAGAGATAGAAACATGGATGTGAGAGATAAACATCAATTGGCTGCCTCCTGCACACCCCCTACTGCGAATTGAGTGTGTAACCCGGGCATGCGCCCTGACCAGGAATCAAACTGGGACCTCTCAGTCCATGGGGCGACGATGCTCAATCCATTGAGCCACACCAGCCAGGCTATTATCTATTTCACTAAATGATGCTTTTAAATAAATTCCTTTTCTTCACCCTTTTAAGGTTATTTTAGGTTTTTCCCTAGTGTTTTGTTATTAAATATGTATTTAGTTCATTTACTTTTAGATTCTTGCTTTCTGACAAGTACATTTAAGTTTATACATTTTCTTATTACTATACTTATTTCTCAATTTCCATAAAAAGATTAAGTCAGAGAATATAGCCCATATAATTTCTACTTTATGAAACTTTAATTTTTTGGTGGCCTGATATATTTTGAAAACATTAGCATATTAAATAAACATGCATTTATGTTTTGGAGACAAAAATCATATACACATACCAATTACATTATTAAGTATTATATTACTCAAATCCACTAGATGGTCATCTTTTGGTATATTTCTGGGAGGTATACTGAAGTCTTCCACTATGGTTGTGGTTTTTTGGATGTTACCAAGTGGTAAAAAATTCTGTCACTCAATGCTGTCCTTGTGCAAAGTTCTAAATTTAGGTTGGTTAAGTCAGTATTTCTGGCCAACATGGCATTATGGGACCACACATCCAGTAAAAACACATCTTGCCCATGTGAAATGACAAAGTGGGAGCTAGAGATACTGTGGTAAAGCTGTGAAGAAAGAGATCCAATGTAGATGGTGGACATTCCTCTGTCAGAGTGAGGGAGAAAAGGCCATTTCTATGTTCTGCTTAGAAGAGTATTTAAAATGTTATATGATGTCACTTATTATGGAATATCATGAACAAAATTGATCAGAATAGATCTAGATGCCCTGGCCGGTTTGGCTCAGTGGTTAGAGCGTCGGCCTGCGGTCCGGAGAGACCCGGGTTCGGTTCCCGCTAAGGGCATGTACCTCGGTTGCAGTTTGTCCCCGGTCCTGGTTGGTCGTGCGGGTGGCAGCCACTCGATGTGTCCCTTCCACATCGATGTTTCCCTCTCTCTCTCTTTCTCTCTCTCCCTCCCACTCTATCTGTACAAAAAAATGGAAAAATGTCCTCGGGTGAGGATTAAAAAAAAAAAAAAATAGATCTAAAGACATGGAAGTAGGGAACAAACCGAGAAACCTAGGGGGCAGGTGGGGGTGGGGAGGGTGGCAGGAAGAGATAAACCAAAGAACTTATATGCATATATGCATAACCAATGGACACAGACAGTAGTTTAGGGAAAGCAGCAGGGGGTGGGAGCAGGGAGGAAGAGAGGGGTTCAATGGGAGAAAAAAGGGAGACATCTGTAATACTTCCAACAAAAAGATAAAAATAAATAAATAAATTAATTAATTAATTAATAAAATGTGAAGAGCTGTAAAGGCATGCCCCGGCTGCCAGTCTAGAGCCATGATACGTGGTCAAACTAAAACTTGTTTACATCACATCATATAATATTAGAACAATTTTCATCAGCCTCCAAAACCCAGATCCCAGGGACAGCCTCATCCTGGTCAAAAATAAAAAATAAAAAATAAATCCACAAGGGACTTAAGTGTTGCCCGCCCGTCCCCCCCCCCCCCCCCATCCTAATCTGTGAATAAACGTTAAAGCACAGACTATCTCCAAATGCCTCTTGCAGTTAAAAAAACCTACAAAAAACCAAACCCTGGAGCCAGCCTCCCTCCAGCAGGTGCAGCACTTGCCCCTGCAATTTCAGGGCTGTGCAGTTTTGTTTTATTGGATGGAAGAGGATATAAAGCCTAGTTAAAGGTCAGCTTCTTAAAATCTGCTTCTTCCCCTACACATAGGAGACCTTGAGTCCCTGATCCAGCAGGAGGGATCAATAGTGAAGCCACCTTCACTGACGTCTTTGGCTCTCTTTCGGCTAAGCTAACAATACCTGTAGTAATTCCTGGTGACTCCTGCTGATGACGCCCCCCTTTGGAAAATTATAGAACGTCATGGTGGACATGTCTTAATCTGACTGAGGTGCCTGCAGAACTGAGGTGCCGACTCCTCTGAACTTGGCCAGGCCTCCATGGTTTTTAGAAACCAGCCACCTGCCAGGCCATAGGCTGTTTATGGAAAATGGGTTAGGGAACCTATGATGAAGTCTCATGTTTCCAGAAAGGAGGACTTCACCTCTTGGATTGCTCTTCCTGAGACTTTATTTTTAGTCTAAACTTAACACCAACTTCCAAATGCCAGAGGGCAACCCCTTACCACCTGCCCTCATAGGGCAGCCTTTCTTTATACTGAATAGGAAGTACGGGTCAAGAATGGGGAAAGTTTGCCTCATACATTACTGCTCTGTCAATGCCAGTGTGAAATCTCAGGGCCCATGGTTGAGCCTGAAGGTTTTTAAAAAGGTACTGTCCCTCAGGGAGCCCCTATATTCCTCAAGATTAGTTTGTTCTGAAGTTGGGAACAGAAGCAGGAACGGAGGACTTTCCAAAAGCTGCCACCTGGTCACTGGGTAAGGCCCCTGTCCACAGGTCAAGTGAGCTCTTAAACAGCCCTAGCACTAATACAGTCCTACCAGGCTCCTGAGGAAGTGTTATGACTTAGTTTTATCTTAATGTACTAGAATCCCTGAGGGGACAGGCTGGGAACACAATTGCTGATGAAGTGGGGTACTGAATGCAGATAGTGTTAGTGCATTAGACTCAGTCCTTACCTTGCCACAGTGGAAACCCTTCTCTTAGACCTGCCTAGTTATCTTGGGTCTAAACTAGGCCAGAATCAATCTGCAGGGTGACCTTTTGGTTTGTCACTGCATTGCGAGCTATTACAGAAACCTGGGGTGGGAGAGTCCAGCCCTGTGGCCAGGACACCTAATGGCTTGGAGAGGTTTCCAGTGGAACCCTTTCACTTTCCCTTACGAGGACCAATGGTAGCACAGGTATGTGGGAGAACCATTTTGTATGTGGCAATGACAAAGCAGATCTCTGTGGCCAGTTGAGATGGCAGGAGAGGGGAAAAGGAGAGTAGGGATAGGCTAGTGAATCTATCCCCACTTGTAATCTTCCCACTTGCTGTAAACCATTAACTCATTCTTGCCTGGTCCACTGTTGCTCTTCACCCTGTTTCCTCCAAGCAATCCCAGTGGCCAAAATGTCTAGCCCAGGCTCACCTCGTGAGATCCATGAGAGAAGTTCATACGAGCCACATTCATTCCAGACTTAATCATCTCCTTCAGCATCTCCACTGATCGGGAAGCAGGGCCTAGCAAACAAAGTTTTAAAGATATAGTCTTAGTGATTCAAAAGATTAACACTTGAAACTTGCTTAGGTTTAGAGAACTCTCCTCACCCAAGAATATCTTTTCCATTGATTTTTACAGACTGGAAAGGAGGGAGAAAAGGGGGTGTGGAGAGAGAGAGGGAGAGAGAAACATTGATGTGAGAGACATCAATTGGTTGCCTTCCCATACATACCCCAACCGGGTCTGGGGATCAAACCTACAACCCAGGTACATGCCCTTGACCTGAAATCAAACTTGAGACCCTCCGGTGCGTGGGCTGATGCTCTATCCACTGAGCCACACCAGCCAGGGCTAAAGAACTCTTGATATTTTTTTTGCTCTCTAAACTTTTCCTCTCCCAAACAGCTCAAAATTCTTTCAAAAAGCCACATACATAGCTATTACTGTGTTAGCCCACTTTCTTGATTTAGGGGGACACTTCTATTTCCTTCAAATTTTACAGGCTCCCATCCAATCAGGAAAGCCCAGAAAAGACTTGGCCAGCCCTGTTTGCTCTCCCTGAAACCTAGCCAGATGTCCAACCACAGAATCTTGGTTGTACAAAGAATATCAAAAAGATCTTTCCGCCCTGGCCAGTTTGGCTCAGCGGTTAGAGCGTCGGCCTGCGGTACAGAGAGACCTGGGTTCGGTTCCCGCTAAGGGCACGTACTTCGGTTGCAGTTTGTCCCCGGCCCTGGTTGGTCGTGCGGGTGGCAGCCACTTGATGTGTCCCTTCACGTCAATGTTTCTCTCTCTCTCTCTCTCTCCCTTCCTCTCTCTCCCTCCCACTCTATCTGTACAAAAAATGGAAAAATATCCTCGGGTGAGGATTAAAAAAAAAAAAAAAAAAAGATCTTTCCTAGGTCTTGGAGAGGGTCCTACAGAGACATGCTAAGGAAGATAACTTCTAAATTTTGCCTTTAGCAGAAAACATAAAGCAGCCTCGCTGGTGTGGCTCAGTGGATTGGTCATCCTCCCATGGACTGAGAGGTCCTGGTTCAATTCCCGATCAGGGTACACACCCGGGTTGTGGGCTCCATTTCTAGTAGGGGGCATGCAGGAGGCAGCTGATTGATGTTTCTATCTCTCTCTCCCTAAAAAAAATTAACAAGAAAATACAAAGCATATTTTAAAAATAAACACGTTTTTATTGATTTTTTTAGAGAGAGATAGAAACATCAATGTGAGAAAGAAAACATCGATCGGCTGCCTCCTGCATGCCCCCTACTGGGGATCGAGCCTGCAACCCTGGCATGTGCCCTGACCAGGAATGGAACCAAGACTTCTCATTCTACAGACACCTCTCAGTCCATGGGACGTTGCTCAATCCACTGAGCCACATTGGCTGGGCAAGCATACTAATTCTTTATTGCAACTTCCTATGATCTGAGTTCCCATAAGTATCTGTGTAGAATCTTGCTTAGCACCCAGGTTTGCTACATTTCGTCTTTTCAGGAGAGAAAAGATCACTTCACATGAAACCTTGTTTGGGGGGAGAAGCACCACTCACCGATGGTACAGATGATGCCAGTGTTCCTGGCCGTGATGGGTGGTGAGTCAATGTCCAGGCGGCACATATGCTCCAGGAATGTGTCAGCCATGGCTGCATGCAGCTGCTGTGTCTGAATGAAGGCTGTCCCAACATCGCTATGGGGCTTCGACATGGCTGAGGTCCTGGGTCCAGAGTAATTAAAGAGTGTGATCAGTCTGAGAAGGCTGGGTTGTTACACACCGCTTGGCACAGGAGACCGTGCCCTGCTTACACATTAACTCAATAAGCATGCTTTGTGCACAAGCCACACTATGTGGGTGCTCCTAAAGTCAGGCAAAGGGCTCATGGGACCACGAGCAAGTTAAAAACCTTGTAACCATTGCATGTACTTCCCAGGCATCCACTGTAAGCAGACCTCCCTCACATGGCCTAGTTTCTACCTTGACAGCTTTCCTGCTGATCCTATAAGTAACATCATTTTACATGCACTAAAGGAGCGTCCTCAAAAGAAAATTGTAACCATCTTCCAGTGATATAAACCACTGACTCCTCATTTAGAACCTCAGTAAATCTAGATCTTTGTATGAAAATTGTCTCAAAGCTACAAACATCTGCTATGGGTGGAGTATCCACATTGCCTCTTAACAATACCCATCGAAAGCCAAAGTGATGTTCCTGGTTGTGAAGACAACCACCACTCAGGCAGTCCTAGCTCCGGAGTCCTAGGTTTTCACTCACCCAAAGCACCATGTAAATTCATTCCTCAACTTACCTAGGCCTGAATAGGTCCCAACCGCTGATGGGCAATACAAAACAGTCCCTGGACATGAAGCAAAGACCCACTGGAACCCTGAATGTAAAAGTTTTTATCCTAGGAATCTATACCTAAAAAAAAATCACATCTACTTTTGATCAGAAGGACTTTAGGATGTACAAAGCAATTTGCATAAAACCAAGGATAACCACAGTGGCCCTGGTCTAGTTTTAAAATGACTGCAGCTACATCTGCAACATGAGGAGATTCAATTTGCTTGTCAAATCTTTCCCCCAACTGATTTTCTGATGCACCATCCCAATTCCTCTTTGATGTCTGACAAGCACACCACTCCCAGTAACAAACACCATCTGTTCCAGGTAATTAAACAGCACAGGTTACAGTTCTGACAACTGTCCTGACCTTTGCTTTTCTTCATTACTGACTTACAACTAAACTCACTCAGCCAGTTAGCTGATTTGAAACAAAGTAAGAAGCTTTTGGCCAGTGCTTTGAAGAACTGTTAGGCAAGGATGTGAGCAGAAGATGGACACTTCTCAGCAGAAGGCTGTCACTTTCCTCAAGTTCTCAGATCAAGGGATATTCCTTCTAAAACCCTCAAGCCTAAATCACTTCAGCCCAGGCTCAGGGACAAATCCCTCTTCAGCCCTGTCCCACCTCGCCATCAACCTCAGGGATCCAAATCAAAGCCCCCCACCCCACATATAACCCTTACTTCGATTCCTTCTCCGTCCCTGACTTGAGGCCTCTCTGGCTGGCTCCAGTAGAGCATGCACCTAAACTCACCTCTGCCATCAAGACGTCTGGTAAAAGCCCAGGAAGCTTTGTGACCAGTTGTGAGCAAACCTTCCGTCGGCTACTAAAAATTGATGATTGTAAGTCCTCAACTACAGAATCTAAAACTTTTTAAATAAAGATACCAGTTAAGTATTCCACATGGCAAACACAGTTCTTTTCAATGTGCTTAACTACCCAATACACACCATGTTCCCAAAAATTAATGTCAACCCTCTCCTCCATGACCTATTTGATTCTGTACCTTGGACATATCCCAGTGCCTGTTGAATACCTTTTCATGTGTCTTAAGGCTTCGTTGTCAAAATCAAAGTTGTACCTCCACACTCCCCCATGCCAAAACTGAGAAACTTCTGAAGTACAGGCAGGGCCGCCAGGGCAGCCACACGCAGCTGGAGCAGAGCTGGCATGCTTCCAGAACACCCAGCCAGCTTAGGTAAGCCTGGTTGTTAAGGCAACGTTACTGAGGAGATGGTACCAGGTGGCACACGGAGCCAACTGGAACACAAAGGCCTTGCTGGGGCCTCCAAGTGGAGAGAGCCATCCAGTCGAAGACTGTGTCTTGAACAAAATAAGGTCTGAATGACTGGGTTGGAGTAACTAACCCACTCTTCTGGCTCTTCACTAGACCTGAGACATTAGGGTCTCCTTGCAAAGACCTGGCTGGGGCCACTGATTATCAGGTCATACCTTGTGTTCTCTGGGCTTGGGCTTCCGGTGACATAATGTTCTTTTTTTGGCTCAGGGTGGCTGCTTGGCCCCACTTGCAAAGACTGCTCGGAGCTGAGTAAGGTTTTCCCTGCGGAGCTGTACAAGGATTAAGGTAAAAGCTGAGTGCAACTAATGCTCTCTGGAGTAAGGGAAAAATTACTTTAATAACCAGGTATCCAGGTAGTAGCTGCTCCTAGAGATTCAGCTATGTTACAAAGAAAAACACAAGCTTTCCAAGAAAAAAAGAAAAAGAAATTGATACCAGAAAATTCTAAGGTAAAAGTGAGTTCTCACTGGCCCCTCTATGATGCTTTATACCCTCCCTTAACACCCACATATTTCTTTCCCTATAAAGTCTCTTACTAACACCAGAGCCTGATCCCTCCCCCTTCTCAGGTGGAAGGGACATACTACACAAAACACACGTAGAAAGATTGGGAGGATAGCAACCCAAATACTAACATCGTGTTATTGTCTGGGTGGTTGGAATACAGCACACTTTTTTCTTGTCTTTATTAATAAATTCACTAATGTGAAAAACGTTTATAGTAAGCAAAATTACAAATATACCTCCTCTAAGCACAATATATTTACAAGCATCTGGTAAAAGTGTTGAAATGAAAACAAATGTGAATCTCCCAGTTCCATGAAGTGACTGCTGCTTTATGCAGCTCAGGAGTACTCGGCATAAATGTGGCCAGTGAGACAAGGCATCTTGGGCTCTAGGTCTCAATTGGACAGTTTCACTGGCTTAAAAAGGTCAACCTCAAAGCAAAAAAAAAAAAAGTTAATATAGTTCTTAGAAAAATTCAATGCCAAAAACCTGTTAGTTACATGCCCAAATCCAGCAAAACTTCTTGTTTAGTCTGTCCTCAGGCTTCACAGCAAAATCATTTTTACGAGGATGTTCTGGTACAGAAGGCCTGCCTCCAGGACCAGAAAATGCCAGATTATATTGGGCTCAAACACTAACCCTATTTCACCATCTCAAATTCAATAGAGGTTTACAAGCTCTGATCTTTTGTTCACCCAGGCTATTAAATACAAAAATAACAAATAAAAATTAGTTTGGTACTTGAGTGGAAATACACACCAGCAATCAAAAAAAGCTTGCTTGTTAGCAAGTTGGTCTAGACTCCTACAAGGTCTCAGCATGTCCTTAAAGCCCTCTACTAGACCAGAGACCTCAGAGCTCATCCCTGGGTCACCAACTGGTCCCTCCATCTGTCTCCAAGGACCATCATGAGCCTCTTCTCTGGAGCACAAGCTGCCAATCCCTGAGTTCTGCCTAAAACACCTTCTGGACTCCTCCAGCTCCAGGACAGCAGCCTCAGCCCAGGTTTCTAATGGGCCTGCCCCTTCCTCACACTGTTCACCTGGACAGCGTCTGCCAGGACATGCAGCCCAGCCTGTGCCAGTCAGACTCACTACTGCATCCTCCTCTTTGGGAGGCACAGACATGCAGAGTCGACCTCCGGCCAGCAGTGGAAGCCCGGCGTCTCCACTGATGGCAGGAAATGCTGTGCCCAGGTATAGGAGCTTTATTCTTGAGCCTGAGCCCCTGCAGTAGGATCTTCCTCAGAGCCATTTCTCCTCTGTGAGAAATAAGACATCAATGGAGGTCTCAGTGCGGGCTGACAGGGTAGTCACAGCTCAGCTCCATGTGCCCCTATTCCCACCTTTCCTTTCTCATCTCAAGCAGCTTGTGGCTCTTTTCTGAAACCAGCAGGGAGTTGGGAGACTCATACAAAAAAACAAAAACCCGACATGCCACTTCTTAGAGCCTATACAACTGTTGGCAGGTTGTTTTGGGAAAGATTAATGCTTCACCATTTCTATCTTTCACAAAGGCCCAAATTATTCTGCCCTAGTAAATAGCCTGGCCTATGAACCTGCATGTGCATAAGCCCATTTTTTTTCTTTTGGTTAATCCTCACCTGAGGATATTTTTTCCATTGATTTTTAGAGAGTGGGAGGGACGGAGGGAGAGACAGAAAGAGAGAAACATTGACTGGTTGCCTCCGACCAGGCCAGGAGACTGAACCTGCAACCCAGGTATGATGCTCTTGACCGTGAATTGAAATGAAGACCCTTCAATCCAAGGGCCGATGCTCTAACAACTGAGCCATACCAGCCAGGGCAGATAAGCGGACTTTTAACCAGCCAGGAATCTCTGACCAATTTTGCTTTGATGCCAACCTCACTACACAGACTAACCCAATAGTGATGGCACCTGATGCCTGAAATTGTCTTCTTCACTCTGACATCACTTTCCTACTTAGACCTCCAAGTCTCTAAGCCAGCACAAAGACCTTTCAATTCCCAAATCTTCAAAAGGTCAGCATCCATTAGGGAGTTTGCATCACAATATGCTGGACAAGGCTTTCAGGCCAGCCTGCTCTCTAGCTCTCTCCCTAGACGATGGATCAGGGAAATATAATTCCCAAGAAGATCCAAATGGGTGGTAGGCCAGCCACAGAACCTAGGGTCTGGAGTGAACGGGCATGCATCCTGATGTACAATTAGACAACAGTGTATTTGTATACAGAGTGGGTTTTAGAGGGTAAGCAATTTCTAGCAAAGTCTAGTTTACCTGGTTACACAAAACAAAATGAACCCAACTGTAAGTTTAAGTAAAACTCCCTTTCTTTTATTTATTTATTCAGGACTAAAACTAGGGGACATAAACCTTATAAGCAGGAGCCTAAGGTCTTTTTTCAAATGAGGATAATAGAAGAGGACACAAAAGCTGACACTGAATGGGCCCAACGGCAAGTGGAACTATCAATTCCAGGGCAGTAAAGCCCCACCTCAGGGAAACCTCCGCGTCCTCAGATGCCAAATGTCCTGGTTTGACTGCACATGCTCAGAGCAGAGAACTTGTTTCAGCCCAAATGAGGA